TATTTAGCACTTTTATAATCGGTGTGTGAAACCTTAATGTTACATTGCCAAAATGAGTAGCGATATCATAAGAAGCAATTCATTTATTTTAGGTATGGGAAGTGATGCATGCAAAAGCGCTGGAAGGAGAGGAAGTGGGTCGAATTAGACACAGCAAGGCAGCCCCGATGAAACAATGGATACGGATGCATTTGCCGATGTCCACTTCTGCTGCTCCATCTTCTTCCACACCCACATTCGCCTCTCTTGGTGAGACTGAAGCAGTAGACCAGCCAGTAGTATGGTTTCATTTCTTCGCCAACCTTGAACATCTGCAGAAGTGCACCGAGTGGCGCGCCCGACTCGCCTGGCTCTCCGCCGGTCGTGACGGTTTAATTTGTGGCCGTAGCCTTGCCGAGGACCAGTGGGCTCTCAGTCTCCTCGTCCACAAATTTGCAGAGATAACCGACGTCGACGTCGACCCTGACGGTCGTTGGATTGCCATTGGTACCACTGATGGGACGGTTTCTGTGAGTTGGTTTTTGTTCACTTCATTCGTGTTGACTTAAATACTCGGACATTTTTTTGCATCCTCATCCATTTTTTCCGACTGGGAGATCCTTATTTGCTTCTCTGATTTGTTGAGTGTTTCGTATATATTTGTTGACAGATCATGAATTCCAATAAAGTAGGCTCATTTGACTGTCGTTTTATCGTCACTTCTCTCATTTAATTTCGCCTTGCTTTTTGGTTCTTACTAACGAGGTTTCGTTTGGAAGTATTCTTCCATCCATCCATCTAGCTGTATTTCTCCTAATATTACAAATTTTCAGGAGTACTTGATTATTAGTAATGTATTTGAAGACTGTACATTTTCTACTTTTCAAATGTGCGTTTAGGTATTTTTTGCATGGTCTTTCAGTTTTCTATTGTTGTTACTTTAAGGATGAGAAGAATGCATTTGCAATACTTGACCGTCAGATTGTTTTCGAGTATCCACACCATCTAATTCCACCGATTTCACTAGTTATTAGTAGCCCAAAGTTACATGGACTTACTATCCTATGGATTGGATAGGTGGCTATGCAGATGAGTGGTTGTTTCTTCCCCATCCATCTTATTTTAGCCCGCTTATCTTAGTAATAATAATAATAACAGTGATAACAA